CCAAAGGATGAGCTGCGCTACCACCTTGACCTCACAAACATCACCACAGGCAAGGGTAAAGTAAACTGTCAGAGGTCTCTAGAGGAACTCAGAACATAAACCATATGACTCCCCCAACACCCAAAGCCAAGAGGAAAAAAAAAAAACCCTCAATAATCCTTCGTTCAACAAGGCAATCTTCCAAAAACCACCAAAGCAAAAAAACAAAAGTTCATCTTCTGAAAAACACATAAATAAATCAAACGAATCAGATTATTATCACCAGAGCAAAAATATTTAAACACATAAACAACAAAATAAAGAAGACACATTTGTTTGAAGAAGAATGACTACCTGGAGCTTGGATTCACGCGCGTTCTTCCTGGAGCTTGGATTCACGAGCAGAGCTTCCTCCCTGAGAAAACACGAAAATGACTAGGTTTTTTGGGTTTGGGGTTATTAGGGGTAGCGTGTGTCATTTCCAAAATATTGGAAGGGTAGATTCAACTATGCACCAGCTCTGAAACGCGTCTAAGCGCGTTAAAGAGCCAGACCAAGCTCTAAAGTTTTCAGATCTGAAAATAAGATTCAAATCAAGTTTAAGAGGAGAAACCAAACAAGTGCAAGGATTTGAAAAGCAACATTTTCAGATTCAGACCTCTAAAAAGTGCAATCAAACGCCTCCTTAGGCACTAAAGCCAGGGGTTGTACCATGTATACCTCTTCCTCAAGGTCTACATTCAGGAAGGCGTTTTTAATATCTAGTTAATGAAGATCCCAATCAAGATTTGCAACAAGAGAGAAAAGAACTCTGATGGAGTTCATCTTAGCTACTGAAGCAAAAGTCTCTGCATAATCTACTCCATATACCTAGGTAAACCCTTTCGCGACCAACCTGGCCTTGCACCTTTCTACTGTGCCATCAGCCTTGTGCTTCATTGTGAACACCCACTTACACCCTACCGGTTCCTTACCCTCAAGAAGATCCACTAACTCCCATGTACCATTTTTATGTAAGGCATTTATCTCTTCTTTCATTGCATCTGTCCAATTAGGTACTAAGAGAGCTTCTACCACATTTTTGGGGATAGGGACATTGTCAATGGAAGAAAATGGGAAATATGATGCTTAGTGGTACAAGACCTAACTCCCTTTTTGCAATAGGGATGTCTGGTAATTAGCAGATGAAGTATCAATAGCAAGAGGATCAGAAACATCAATAGGAATAAGAGTACCTGGTTGGGTATGATCTGTCCCCAGTGAATCTGATGATGTTGGTGGTATAGCGTCAAGTTGCTCCACAGCTCTTGAACTCGGTAAACGTGATCAAAACACCAATAACCCTTCTAAGAAGAAGGATAACCCAAGAATACACAGGGAATGGTAGAAGGATCAAGTTTACCATGAGTAGGAGACAGGTCTTGAACAAAACAACAACCAAACACACAGATAGGAATGGAGAAGAGGGGAGCCTTGGGAAATAAGAGTAGATGAGGGGCCTTGTACCCTAACAAGCAAGATGGTATACAGTTGATAAGATACACAACACAACATCCAACCAAAAACGTTTAGGAACATTCATGTGTATGAGTAACCCACGAGCAACTTCAAGGAGATGGCAGTTTTTTCTTTCGGCAACACCATTCTGTTGGGGGGTTCTAGCATAAGAGTTATGATGGATGGACCTACATGAAACAAAAAACTCCAGGAGATCACTATGAAAGTACACTTTAGCATTGTCCAATTGGAAAATTTGGATCTCCATTTGAAATTGAGTGAATATTAAATGTTGAAAATCTTTAATAATTTTGGGTACTTCATCTCTGGACTGCATAGGATACACCCATGTATATTGGGCGTAGTCATCAATAAGTGTAATAAAATACTTATAGACAGTTATGAATGTTAAAGTAACAGGGCACCAAACATCAGAATAAACAATATGGAAAGGAAAATCAGATTTATTATTCCTTAAAGTAAAATGATTTCTACAATGTTTGCTCAAGTTTGACATATGAGTTCAAACACTAACACTGACTTAAACAAATCTAGAAACAAAACTTTCAACGATTCAAAAGATGAATGACCCAAACGACTCTACCATAAATAGACTGACTCGTACTAGACAAACTCTTGGACTCAAGAGCCGTAAGACTAGCTTTATTCTCTAGCATATAAAGACCATCCACCATACGACCTCTACCAATCATCTCCCCCGAGGCTAAATCCTGTATCGCATAAGAAGGGAAAAAGGTTACTAAGCAGTTTAACGAATTTGCTATACTACTAACAGAAAACAAATTTATAAGTAGTTTTGGAACATGTAGAACATCAGAGAAGGTAAGTCCAAGAGGAATGGAGATGGTTCCTTGACCAACTATGGTAGAGAAAGAACCATCAACAAGTCTCACCTTGTCCCTACCAGATAACAGATGATAAGATTGAAAACAATTTGACTTACTTGTCATATGGTTCAAGGCTCCATAATCTTTTTTTCAAAGGGAGTCTGAGGGATGAAGGACACATGGAAAGTTATGGCAGAATAACCATTACCTGATGTAGACGCAAAGGAAGTCGAGGGGGTCGAAGAAGAATCCATCTAGCGGATTGCCCTCCCATACAGCTCCAAATGGTCACGGAAAGAATTAATAATATCTTCCCTGGGATCAATCACATAAGGGCTCATGGTAGTGGTAGATGATTGAGGCTCCTGATAGGCCAAGTTTGTTGCATTAAACTTCTTCTGACCTTGTTGTCCCGACTTTTTATTTTGGTCTGACTTTTTACTCAGCTCCTAGGCCCACTTTGGCTTCCCATGAAGTTCCCAACATGTATCCTGAGTGTGTATAGACTTCTGACAATGAGTGCACCATAGTTTATCCTTGTCATCAACTTTCTTTGGGAAGTGGCTCTTCTTAAAGGAATTGCCACCTCTTATAACAACACGCCCTTTAGCTACTAATGCAATCTGCTCCACCTCAGAATAATTCATCACATTTCGTCTGCACTCTTCTGACTGTACTAGGGCATACACTTTTTGCACTGATGGGAGATCTTTACTCCCCAATAAATGAATCCTAATAGCCTCGTATGTAGAATTCAACCCTAAGAGGAAGGCAAAAACCCATTGCTGGGAACTCAGAGACTTGTAGGCTTTAGCATCTGCATCACATTTTCAATCTATATTCTAATAATGATCTAATTCTTTCCAAATAGAGGTCAAATCTGAACAGTAGATGGAGAGATTCCTCTCCCCCTACTTACAAGTTGAGGAGGCAGCCTACAACTGATATATTTTGGCATAATGTCATTGTTCTGAATATGTAGATATAGCCTGCTCCCATATTTCAGGAGTTGTTTCTGCCCACATGAAGGTCTTTTTCACTTGTTGCAGCATGGACAATAATAGTCATGACATCACCATGTTGTTTTCTTGGTCCCACCTATGACCTATCATGTTTTACACCTCCAAACTATGGTTCTTTAACTCTACCATTGATATACCCCATTTTCCCCCTTGCAATATGTAAAGCTTGATTCCTCTTGACCATTCTAGGTAATTGAGACCATCAAAGGGAATCACAGCCATGGGAAAACTCATGTCAAAACCTTCACTCATTCCACTCTGACTAGAGGTCACACCAGACATAACAGAATCCTCAGAAAACATGGTACTTGTTCTCAGTTCAGTCATAATTCAGTCAAGGTACTAGTTCTCAGTTCAGTCACAGACTCACAATTCAGTCAAGATATTAAAACTTAGTCTAGTCACAGTTCTAGGCACAAATTAGTTCTTGTTCACAACAGCATAATCAAATCTGATCACACAACATCACTCGTTCTCAGATTACCACACTACTGAACCAGTTCAGATGTAAAAACATATCAGTATCAGGTCTAACCAGTCCCTTCAAGCAATAATTCACCATTTTGTTTGCCACACGATCATTGTAGTTTTAATAGGAACCAAGGAAAAAAAGCTGCTGTCACAGCAGTTACAGAACATGCAGACCTGAATAGCCCACCTTTCAAGTTTCAAGGCAAAAAGAAGGATCACTCAATCCACACAGGTTGAGAAGAAACACTTTCACAGCAGCCACAGGTCATTAGACCTACATAACCCACTCACCCGGGTACAGAAGGATCAATCGATCCACAAAGGTGAGAAGAAAAAAAATAATCAGGAACACCCTTTACAGCATTTGACTTCCCTTCCCTTGGTGTTTTCTGGGCCCACAACCAAGAGGGAAGAGGAAGAACTATACAGCAAGTCTCCTCATGTCAACCAGATGTACCTTTTCTTTGGATTCGATCCACAATAGACAAAAGAAAAAATTGGAGGAAGAAAAAGACTGATCGCACTGCTCCTAAACCCAGATCTATCACTCTAATACCATGTTTTCTCATCAACCAGATGTACCTTTTCTTTGGATTCGATCCACAATAGACAAAAGAAAAAATTGGAGGAAGAAAAAGACTGATCGCACTGCTCCTAAACCCAGATCTATCGCCCTAATACCATATTTTCTTCGTAAACACACAACAGAATATCAGAACAGTGAGAGAAGAGAAGGGAGAAGAGGAGAAAAAGTTTTGGAGTCAAAAACATAGATTGGCAGTGCCAACCCTTTTGTTATTTATATTAGGGCAACCCTGAACAAGATTTGAGACAGACGAAGAATATAGAGGAGAGAAGAGGGGAGGGATCAGGTGAAAGGGAAGAAGGAGAGGAGGGGAGAAATGGAGGAGAAGATCTAGAGAGGACAAGCATGGAGGCATCCAATAGGGAGGACCTAATAGCAGACTTTGTGGGGAAGTTGGGATGCAGAATGGAAGATTTGAATGTTTTGAAAGGTGGCCTGCAGAAGGAGAAGAAGGAAATTAAAATAAAGAAAAGAAAATTGAGTAAAGTTGAGAGGCTGAAAAGATATGTTGAAGGTGACAAGAAGTTTGGGGTAAAAGGAGATACAAGGAAAGGGGGGAAGTAGTGGTTTTTGAAGGGACTTAAAGAAGAAGTATCTATGAAGATTCTTAGTTGGAATGTGAGGGGTATTGGAAGTGCGAGGAAAAGAATGACGATTAAAGAGGTAATAAAGAGGTATGACCCAGACATTGTATTACTGCAGGAATCCAAGAGAATGGAGTTTAATAATAGATGGGCAAGAAGTATTTGGAAAGTCAGGGGGATTAGTTGGGTGGTTGCTCCCTCTTGGGGTGCTTCAGGGGGGATTTTGACAATGTGGAAGAAGGATGTGGTGGATGGCCAGGAGGAACTGATTGGAAAATACTCAATCTTAGCGAAGTTCAAGCAACAAGAGGATGATTTTGTGTGGGTGCTCACAAATGTTTATGGGCCAATTGATTACAGAGAACAAAATGAATTGTGGGAGGAACTGACTGATATTAGGGGACTTTGGGATGAGCCATGGTGCGTGGGGGGGGGGGGAGGTCTTCAATGTGGTGAGATTCACGGAGGAAACTAATAATACTAATCAGAGGGTGACAACTAGTATGAGGAAGTTTAATAGGTTTGTGGATGCTTTTGAACTCAAAGAGATACCATTAGCCCAAAAGACATTCACTTGGTCAAATCTCCAATCGAGGCCCACCTGCTCCAAGTTGGATAGGTTTCTGCTCACTTTGGATTGGGAAGAACATTGGGGAAACCTGGACTCTAAGGCTCTTCCAAGATTGACCTCTGACCATTGGTCAATAATGATATGCAAGGAGGAAAGGAGGAATGGTGGACCTGCCCCCCTTAGGTTTGAGAATATGTTGTTGCTCCACCCTAGATTCACTAAAAGAGTAAGGGAGTGGTGGTACGAGTGCAACCCAATGGTGGAGTGGGAAGGAATGAGGTTCCATAGGAAGCTACAATTCTTGAAAGCAAAGATCAAGGAGTGGAACCAATTGGAGTTTGGAAGGCTTGAAGAAAGGAAGAGAACCTTGATGGACAAGATTGAGAGCCTTGACTTGAAAGAAGAAAGGGGAGACTTTGGAGAGGCAAACAAGGAACAAAGAAGAGGTTTGAGAAGCCAACTTGAGGACTACCTACATGAGAAGGAATTAGCTGAAGGCAAAAATCTAGATGTAAATGGCTACAAGAGGGAGATAGAAATACCAAATTCTTTCATTCTCTGGCAAATGGGAGAAGGAGAAACTTTGTCTCCAAACTGGAGGTAGATGGAGTTGAGTTAACATAACAAGATGAGATTGCAGGAGCCTTTGTGGGACATTTTAAATCAATTCTAAGAAGGCCTGTAAGTAGGGGGGTATGGTTAGAAGGATTGAATTGGCCAGATATAGGAGATGATAACAGGAGAATATTGGAGAGAATGTTTGATTTGAAAGAGATTAAGGTGGCTATTTTCTCTATGAATAGAACAAAAGCTCCAGGACCGGATGGTTTCACAATGGCTTTCTACCAAGACTATTGGGATACAGTGAAAGATGAGCTTTTGTTGGTTTTTGAGGAATTTCATAGGAGAGGAGTGGTTAACCCAAGTGTGAATTCCACCTTTCTAGCCTTGATTCCAAAAAAGAAAGATGCATTGCATCCAAAGGATTTCAGGCCAATCAGCTTGGTGAATAGCTTGTACAAGACCCTTGCAAAGGTGTTGTCTCTAAGGTTGAAGGAAGTATTGCCAACTATTATCTCACCAAATCAAGGAACTTTTGTGAGTGCAAGACAAATAATAAATCAAATTCTAATTGCTAATGAGAGTGTGGAGCATTTCAGGAAAGAGGGGAAGAAAGGAGTGGTCTGTAAGTTGGATATGGAAAAAGCCAATGATTTGGTGGAATGGGAATTTTTGAGGAAGGTTATGACCAAATTTAGATTTGGGGCTAGATGGTGCAAATGGATTATGGGGTGTGTTCGTAATTGCCATTACTCGGTACTAATGAATGGGACAATGGTTGACTCCTTCCTGGCCATTAGGGGTGTAAGACAAGGAGATCCCCTATCTCCCTTCCTGTTCACACTAATTGCTGATGTTCTGGGGAAACTAATTTACAGAGCAGATTCTAGGGGCCTTATTAGAGGTTGGAGAGTTGGAAGGGAGGATACCCCCCTAACCCATCTATAGTTTGCAGATGACACAATTCTATTCTGTGAAGGGGGAATATGAGGTATATAAGGAACTTGAAATTAATGATACAACTCTTTGAACAAATGTCAAATTTGAAGGTGAACTTTGAGAAAAGTTGTGTAGTTGGTGTGAATATGGAGGAAGGTGAGGTCAGGGAGACTGCAAAAGTGCTTGGGTGTGAAGTTTCAAAGTGGCCTTTGAATTATTTGGGGTTACCGTTGGGTGACAACCCAAAGAGAGAGAGCTTCTGGAATCTGGTGGTGGAAAGTTTTGAAAAGAAACTTGTCTCTTGGAAAAGGAATTACCTTTCTATGGGTGGGAGGATAACACTGATTAAGGCTACTCTAGCAAATTTACCTATTTATTTCCTTTCAGTGTTCAAGATCCTGGTAAAGGTTGCCAATAGATTGGAAAAGATGATGAGACACTTCCTTTGGGAGACGGGAGAGGAGAAAAGGGATCATAGAGTAGCTTGGGAGGTGGTGACTAGGAGTAAAAATAGTGGTGGTCTGGGGCTCGGGAACATTAGAAACAGGAATTTGGCTCTTCTGGGGAAATGGTTGTGGAGATTCCCACTAGAGAAGGAGACGAGCTAGAGCTAAATGGATGGGATGCTGGAATTCGAGCTAGGACTACGTGTTTCACCTTGGAAAGTCATTCATGAATTGTTACCAATTTTCTCCCCTTTTATCAGGTATGACTTGAACTCTGGTAATGCTATAAAATTTTGGGAACAAACTTGGGTGGGGGATGGTCCCTTAAAGGACCAGTTTCCTTCTTTGTATGCACTCTCTAACCTTAAAAATGAGCCAGTTTCATCCTTCATATCCCCCTCCTCTTCCACTTCTGGGTTTGGGTGGAATTTGGGCTTGAGAAGGATTGTGAGAGACTAAGACCTTGATAGCATCTCGAGTCTTCTTCAACTTCTTGACAATGTTTTCTTAGACCCTGCTAAGGTGGACTCTAGAATTTGGACTCCTACCCCCACTGGTTCTTTCTCCTATGCCTCTTTCTTCAAAGTCTTAAGCCAGTCCACCAGTCCTGTAACCCTCCCTTTTCCTGTTCATGAGGTTTAGTGCAAACCAATCCCTCCTCGGGTTGGTAGTTTTTGCTAGGAAGCCTTTCTGGAAAGATTCAACGCTGGTGATTTGCTCCAAAAGAAGAGACCCAATACTTGTCTGTCCCCTCACTGGTGTGTTCTTTGTAAAGCTGATGGGGAGACCGGTTTTCACCTACTGGTGTCTTGCCAATATGCAAAGTCTATTTGGGAGTGGGCTCTTTCCCTATTTGGGTGTAGCTGGAACCCTCCATCAAACATGCAAAATCTGTTTTCTCCTTTTTTCAGGTGGCACATGAAAAGGGGCAGGATTATGTGGAGAGGATTGAGGGCTGCGGTTTGCTGGTCCTTATGGGAAGAAAGAAATGCTAGGATTTTCTCGAAAGTTGAGAAAAGCACTGAGGAGTTGAGGGCCTTGATCCTTATAAGGGTGGTACAGTGGATGAAATCATTAGAGCTATTCACAGATTATACAATGGATGACATGTTGAGGAATTAGGATGAGATTGATAGAAGTACTCAAACCAAAACAGTGATGAATTTGTCTTGG